ATTTTCTCCTATTCATGGCCCCTTTGGGTCTGTGATAACAAAATACCACTCTCTGATGGCCACACCAAGTGTCTTTTTTTCTTCGGAGAGGCACACCAGACGTCCTCCTGCCAGCATTGTAAGAACTTCAAATGTGGAGTCCTCCGTTCTCGCTTATCCAGATTAAAACTCCATCTTTCAGAACAATCCCTTCAACCAACCAAAATGGCCCAGTCTCCTTGTAAGGCCACCTCACAAACCAAAACAATGGAAAAGGCTCTTTCTGAAGCCTCAAAATAATGTCCATCGACCACATCATCCCACTCCGATGCTGCTTCCACTTTGTCTAAAACTACAAAAACCCATAAATAGAAACGGTCAATACCAAAATCCTCAATATCGAAGCCCTCCCCTAAATGTCAAATGTCCACCAAAGCCTCTTTGGTTCTGGAGCTTTCTCCGCCAAAAAGACCTAAACAGCGTAAATCTAAAGCTGCAGTCATTTTTCAGCAGCCTTAACAAACCGCCAAATAAATTTCTATTGGTTCGCCTTCTGGTGATGACAGAATCCCCTCTCATCAACCCTGCTCCCAATCACTGGAATGGGATGACAGAGTCGATTGATTAACATCTCCTCCCAGTCCTCAACACTCTGTTCTTTCGAGCAACCCATCCATAGTTGCTTCACTTGACAGGGTCAACTCCGAACAACAACTAGAGACTATACCTTATTTGGTAACATCTGATCGTCCACCATGACCTCCCCAAAGACATCGACCCCAACAGTCCCTGTAGCCATCTGTTTCATCATGCATGGTTCAGACCCGTGTTCAGCACTCTCACCAGGTTACCATTTGGCCCAACCAGTGCTTGGCCAGACAAACCTCAACCGCCAACCAGCCAGTTGCTCTGTCCAGTTCTGCCATACCTTCTCATGGCAGGCCTCGATCTCGACAGCCATCGTGTCAAAACAGCCGTATCACTGTGACCCACATCAACTCCAACCTGTTAAGTTCCTGGCATCTAAAAGACCCAGGACAGTCAAGCAATTTTCAGTATTGAAAATTCAGTACCACTTCAGTAGCCTTATGATGTTTCTCTTGGCTAAGGACAGCTGGCCTGGCTGAGGATGCCTGCACACATATCAAAGACCTTCCATTCAACGGGGCAGGCCTCTTTACTGCTGAAACTGATATTTTGGAAAATGTGCAAAAGAAAATATCAGCAGCTATATGTTGGGGAGTTTATCCATCTTGCCAACAACACCCCAACAATGGAGAAGTCCATACAACTCATATCAAAAATTCCAATGTGATCCTCCAAAGCAAAGTTTCCGGACGCAGGATGGACGAGATAACACCCTTGAACTGCGCATCTGGCTCTTGCCCTCCGTGGCACCGAGAAGTCGCAAGACAGCCCAGGCCACGTGTTAAGGGTGGTGGCGGCTAGAGTTTACTTAAGCAAAACCTTAGCCACAAATCATTCTCTTTCTCTTTCGGGCACCCACTCACCTGCCCTCTTTCTAGTGTGCTTTTGGGTCACCTTATGGGGCCGGATAGGAATTTTTGACCTCTATCCTGAATGGCTAATGGATGGAGGGATTTTTCGCCTATCCCACACTGGTGATGGGTTGTTGGCATTTAATTGGTGGTATTCTCGGTCACACTGGCGGGTAGCGCGGGGAAAAAACTGGTTGTCTCAGTGTGTCCCTTTGATAATTATGCTAAGCCAACAGCGCATCAGACCTACAGGCTCTGCGGATCGTGCGATTACAGGGCCGGCGGTGGGAGATGCGCTGGGCCACTTTCGGACCGACAGTCATCAAATAAAGATGGCTTGAGGTCTCGGGTGTTTAATATAGGCTGCCTGGGTTCCTGATGTTGTCAAGACAGCTGGAACCTGGAGCCTAGGACTCGCCCATTGGCTGATTAGGGTATCGTGGATGCCCTGCGTTTCTTTCTCTGAACTACTGCAGGCCCCCTCATTTTATGATAATAATGATATCTATAATCAGAATTGAATTAATAAAGTGTAGCCCGTATTTTAATCCATATCATTGTCTTGCGTCTTCATTTCGGGGCCTGGGAGGGCAACATCTTATACACCCTATTTCAGAAATCAAAGAAATAAACCCCGCCAACAACCCATTACTAGGCACAATGACTGCAAGCCCAAACATCACGTTTGAGGCTCCCATGACTGAGATCGCACATCACTCCACCCATCCTGCCCTCTGGAAACACCTACCTGTCTGGGAATCCATCACTACAGATGCCTGGGTACTGTCTATCATCCGCAATGGCTACCACATCAATTTCTTCCAGCTTCCTCCGGCAACACACAGGGGGAGGGGCCTTATTTTAATGTGTTTTTTGCTACCGCAGAAGCTCTAAAACTTTCCGATGAGGCTCCGTGCAGGGGCGGATCACCCAGAGTGTGAATCACAAAGGTCCACTTGAAGAACTACAATTACAGGTGGGTAACCTGTCATTCTCTAACCACTTGTTTGTTTGTGATACATTTTCTGCTCCATGGCTAGAAATGGAGAACAAACAGACCCTATTTTAACTTTCTGGTGCTGATTCATTTGCAGAACTCATTGTGCACATTGACTGCATCAGGACAAAAACCTCCAGCAAGAGTCTTCCTCCTTATTAGAGCTATTATAATGTTAAGTTTTGGGGTGCAGGTGGGACTTGTATTGTGGCGAGAGCATCTGGGAGTGTGTTTGCCATGCATGTGTGAATGAGAAGAGCTCTAGAAATCCATCCTTGCCTATATTTGCTGGTCATTCCTGTAAAAATGTAAAAAAAGCTGTAAAAACCAGCTTTTTTAAGGTTCTGAGGCAAGGAACAATCAAACAGATCCAAATCACATGGTTCTTTTGCCCTTCCCTTTTCCATCTGATATATAGTTTCGAGATTTTACCAAGGCCTTCATTTGTGCTGCTGCAACCTTTGTTCTGCAGGCACCTGCCTCTTCAGGGCTGACATGGAGCTCTGCAGGCTGATTTCGCACCAGCTGACACATAGAAGCCAAATTCAGCAGCTGAAATTCAGGAGAAGGCAGCCGGTGTATGGGACTCTGGCAGCTACGGAAAACAACATTAAGCTGGTGACCAAGCATATAAAACAAGGACTCCTGTTGTGTTTGATTTCTTTGGCTTCACTGTGATTCTGCTTAGTTTGTTTTGTGTGGGCAGAAAGGAGGATTGCTCAGTGGATGTTCACTGGGGCCACAATGCTAGATGGCTCTTTATGGATGCTCTGTATGCATCCCACCCCCACCCACACATACACCATGTAGAGGGGGGGGGGCTGGAGGGTGAAGAGC